CGGAAGGAATGAGGTAAATAAGTGAGTGGATAAACAAACACAATTTTTTTACTATTATTCTATATTTTATAACTACATTTTCATGGGTTTAAATACAATATTTCTATTATTAGAGACAATAAAAACAATTTTGTTCATCAAAACCACTCGTTTGCTGGTAAGCATTAACGTCTCCTGCACGTTTCATAATTATTATAATTATTCAAACTAACAGTTTTTTTCATGTCATATGTCACATTCAAACTGTCTTAAGAAACGTTTAATATTAAACGAAACATAACGTCGGATGTGGTGGAAAAGAGCATGTGGTTGAAATGTTGTTAAGGAAAAAAATTATTGAAGAAACACCCAGTTATAGATTAAATAAATATAAAAGTACTTCTTGAAAAACCATTAATAATTAAACAACAAATCTATTGAGATAAAGGACATCAACAAGTTGCATATTTTCACCAGCAGAATAAACTAAACTCATTAAAGGAGCTACATGTATTTGTGGTCTGTAATTGCATTTTTTTTCTAAGGGGGATATAGGTTTCTCATAAATTATGCTGACGGGTAAAACTGACTATTGTGGGTAAGAGGTGTGAATGCTTGAGAGTTGATGATCACTCGATGTAATGCTTTCAGAAGGGTGGTGGTAAGTTTGTGACGCATTATTCCATCTGACTGCTATTGCACATCTCTTAAAAGACCTCCTCATAATAACACACCAACATTATCAACATCAACTAACTGACCAACACCTGTGATCTGGACACCGAGAGCTATGGCCTGGACTTCTAGATTCATCACCGTCACTGTTCTGGTCATCCTCATTGGATGCTTCACTGGCGCACTGGGCAACTGTAAGTAACTAAACACGCAGCACACGGTCACTGATACTGTTTCTGCTGATTATGAGAAACCTTTGGAAAAACCGTACATTTTTCAGGATATCATAATGCTGTGTTCATGAATTTGATTGGTTTGTCACATGGGGTCTGCAGGCTACTCTAATTGGTTAGAGATGCAAAGGAAGTCAATATCCTGTCGGTGAAAATACCATATAAAAGGATTTGAGTCTAGATAGCACCTTCAACAAAGAATCTACATCTTCCTCATCTGGTTTTGTGAATATTTTGCGCAAACATCATGCATCTCTGCTGGAAATTAGCTCTAATGATGATGGTTCTTGTGTGTGTTACTGCGCAGCAAGTCAACTGTAAGTTTTAGGATTTCTTTATCATTGGATTTGTATTTTTTTGAAGAGCCGTTGAAACTTATTATAATAGATCTGCTGATTTTAATGAATTTTTATTAGTCAGATTATGCATTTAATTCACACCAACCTGCTTTCATAATCCAAAGGCATAGTCCACCCAAAAATGAAAATGCTGTCATCATTTACTCATCCTCATGTTGTTGACTCGTTCTTCTGTGGAAGACAAAAGAACATATTTTCAAGAGAGTTAGAAGCTAAACAGTTTCTGACTTCCAAAAAATACTAAAAATCTAATTTTTCTAAATATTTTTTTGTTTAGCGGAAGAAAAAAAATGCACGAATGTTTAAGTAAATTATGACAGAATTTTTATTTTCGGGTGGACTATCTCTTTAATGATGGTGAATTGATTACTTCATTGTGTTTAGCTATAGCACTGTTTTGTTTTCTTTGATGGAGCCCTTATCCAGACCAAGATCATCTTGTTTTCACACATGTATACAGTACATACAGTACAGGAGCTTTGGAGATTTCAATCTCTGTTTCTCGTTCAGATCGTCGGCCCACTAGAGTTGGCGTGACTTGCTGTAAGGAAGTGTCGAAGGGAAGAATCCCTCATGAAGTGAAACTGATTGGATACAGGCATCAGAATGCTCTGAGTCCATGTGTGGATGCTATAGTGTAAGCTCTCTTTCTCTGCACAGTGATATTTTAGTTTTATATGCCTGATATTGTGTTCATTTGAGTGGTACTGTATATCTGTCCTGCAGATTCTACACAGAGAAGGACAAGTACTGCTCTGACCCAACAGCGCGGTGGATTCAAAACAGACTGAAAGGTATGACCCTATATTAATATGACATCTTATCATGATGAGTATTTATTGATAAAAAAACACTCATAATATGATTATCTTTCCTCCAGATCTGAAGGAGATTGAGGACTGAAGCAATGGAGGCCTTAAGATGTCACAAATCTATCTATACGTCAATCGCTCTATCTATTAAAAAAAGAGAATATATATTATGTACGTTTATATAATCAAAAAGCACCATTAGATACCCTTTTAGCTGATGTGAATGTTAAAAGATGTTTCACTTAATTGCTTTGTTTTAACTGCTTAAAAATTAAAAATAAACTTAAAAAACTGTGCTAATTCTTTCACACAAACATACAGCCTTTTCTCTGTAACAGTTTGGACTGTATTTAATTATATTTAAGCTGAATCATTAAATAAATAATTCTGTCATTATTTACTCATCCTTGTGTCATTACGAATCAGAATTACTTTCTCTCTTCTGTGGGGTAATGACAGTTTTTCTTTTGAGTCCTTCTCCATTGCTTGTAATTGAATGGGGGGCAAAACAGGTCAGCATACAGATAGTTTGCCAATTATATGAGAATTTTCGTTTTTGGGTGAAATATGTATCTACTGAATGTGAATTGTGTTTCAGTAATAGAATGTGCGCCATCTAGTGGAGAACATCATTTAATGCATATAGAAGGTCAGGTCATACAATTTATAAGCCAAATTGGTTTGACAAAGTACCAGTCTTTACTTGGCCAGCAACTAAACAAATGAAAGATGTCATGGAATTCATAAAACAAAAACAGAAATGAACATGAAGCAAATAACAACTTTGTACGGCAGCCTATGCCTAACGTTACATCCCCAAACAAGACATTCAAAAACTGGGAAGTTATAACTATGGGCTACTACTAGGCCTATCAAAAGGCTTATGAATGTCAAAAGTTCATCAAAATTAGCATACCTTTTAAAAAAAAAAAGTAGCCTACTCTGGCATTTCCATGCGTAAACACGGTACTTTAAATAGTTCCTTGACAATCAGTGTGTAATCTTTGTGGAGAGAAAGCCTATGTATTTAACGTTACCTCGTTCACAAGACGATGCACGAGCAGGTGTTGAACCTAATACAAATGCAGTTTTCATCTCTGAGAAAAGTCGATTCTACATGTTGTTTCAGATGACTTCAGATCTTTTTTGTTGTCTGTTTTCAGTTACAGTTCTTGACACCTCGCCGGTCCAAACGAATTGCTCGAATGATCCATGAATCGGTTCGGAACTTCGGACCTTTGCTAACCTGCGTTCGACCAATTCAAACAACCGACTCATCAGAGTACCGGTAATTAATTTACGAATCGGTTACGAAGTTGTACCAATGGTAGACTACCACAGAGAATACGGTGCTATTTTGGGAAACGCAGCCCTGGTTATTTGTGATATAAACATTAAAAAACAGGAGACAGGACATGATTGCAAAATATAGCGAGGGGGAACCTAAATGATTCTATCCTTGGCAAATGCAATCTGGACATACAAGATTTATCTGTCTGTTTTTGTTTTATTGTTTTGTGTTTTTTGGACCACGTGTGTCCTGAATAAAGCTTTGATGATGATTATTGATTTTAAAAAAATACACCCTTAAACTGACACATCCTTATGGAAACAGTAGCCTATACAAAACAGTAAATTGCTCAATAAATATCCATCAAATTTAATATTTTGGCATCTTCTTCATTAATGTTTATCTTTCTTTTTTTTAAATGTCTAAAAATTTTGGACGATTTTAACACGAATTGACCCAAATGTGTTTATGTCTGAGAAACTTTTACATCTTTTTTACACATAGGCCTACTTAGGCACTGCAATGACATGCACTATGTGAACAAAACTATGAGTGTGCCTTATTTTCAAAGAACCACGATTGTCCGTTATTTTCCTTTCTAAATGTTGGTAAACCTAGTCTGATTATAGGTTTTGTGGTATGCGCTGATCATGAATCCTGTCTCACCTCCAGACCTCAATGGACGAAGGGATTCTCTTTGGTTCCACACTGCTTTGTGTGAGACATCTGAAAAGCATCTTAAATGGCCAATTCACGATTGAGCACTTTTGAACTTTAAGTCTAAAGGAAATGCATAGGAATACATAATACAACAACAACAAAAAAACAATAAATGGGTTCATGTCATCAAGTGCAAATGGTGAATCTGGTCTCACCAAAAATGAAAATTAAGTCATTAATTACTCACCCCCATGCTGTCCCAACCCCGTAAGACCTTTGTTCATCTTCGGAACACAAATGAAGATATTTTTGATTAAATTTGAGAGGTGGATCACTGCTACATAGGCTCCTATGGGATCGAGACTTGACGGCCCAGAAAGTCATCGAAGAAAATGTTGAAATATTCCATGTGACAACAGTGGCTCAACTATAAGTCTATCAAGCAACGCGAATACTTTTCGTAATAAAAAACAAACAAAAATAACGACTTTATTCGACTACTCCATTTCTTCCTTGTAGGCCTGAGACGAGAGTTCAAGAGATTTCCACGACGCATGCGCGAGAATTGCGATCTTCTTCAATAACTTCAGTTCAGTTCTTGCGCATGCGTCATGGAAAAAATGTTGTTGCCTGGGGTCCCTGGAGACCCCAAAACCATGAGTGCTATTATTTTTCTCACGCTAACATAAAAACAGATATCAGCAAAAGTTATTTGCAGGTTAAAAACACCCCGAACAACAGCAGAGTTAAGCTGTGAAGTTTAACCTGAATGACTTAAATTAATATGAATATGTGAAGATGTAGGCCTACTAACTTATTCTTGCAAATTAACATTTGATTATGGGTGACATTTACATAAGTAATGGAAGCCATCAACCAACTGCAAATAAAGAATAAAGATGCTAAAGAAAAAAGGTGTCATCGTTCCTGACCGAGACCTCTTGCACACATTCAGAAACATCAACCACAAGCAAAACCAGTAGTTGCTGATCATAGTTTATTTAGTTTCAGAATACACTTGTTCATTTTTCATAATCAACAAACAATATTCCAGGTTGTTTCTCATACAAATCTTAAGTCTTAATTTCACTTGCGTCACTCTTCTTGACACAACCAGCCCATCACCAGTACATTGAGTGAAATATAAATTTCAATGTGAAATAAAACATATAAGGTAATAATTTATTTAAACACATTTGTTCTAAAACAGTTTCACACTTTAATTCAGTTTCTTAAAAAAATATATATGAATTACTGTCACAAATATATGTATTCAAAGAACATACATAACTATTCAATTGAAATACACCTAATTTATTAACCGTCACTTTAAGTATTTTCAAAATACAATACCATAATCTCATACCTTTTACAAGAAATGTTTTTAAAACAAGCAACTACTTGAAGATGTGTTCTCATTATGAGTTTGCATTTAGATGTTCATCATTCCTGATCTGTCATGAGTTGATTGTGAAGATCCTCAGGAGAGAGTTTACTGATAGATGATGCTGGTGGTGGCGTGGAAGTCAGGAGTTTACTGATAGATGATGCTGGTGGTGGCGTGGAAGTCAGGCGTTTACTGATGGATGATGCTGGTGGTGGCGTGGAAGTCAGACGTTTACTGATAGATGATGCTGGTGGTGGCGTGGAAGTCAGACGTTTACTGATAGATGATGCTGGTGGTGGCGTGGAAGTCAGGCGTTTACTGATAGATGATGCTGGTGGTGGCGTGGAAGTCAGACGTTTACTGATAGATGATGCTGGTGGTGGCGTGGAAGTCAGGCGTTTACTGATAGATGATGCTGGTGGTGGCGTGGAAGTCAGGAGTTTACTGATGGATGATGCTGGTGGTGGCGTGGAAGTCAGACGTTTACTGATAGATGATGCTGGTGGTGGCGTGGAAGTCAGGAGTTTACTGATGGATGATGCTGGTGGTGGCGTGGAAGTCAGACGTTTACTGATAGATGATGCTGGTGGTGGCGTGGAAGTCAGGAGTTTACTGATGGATGATGCTGGTGGTGGCGTGGAAGTCAGGCGTTTACTGATGGATGATGCTGGTGGTGGCGTGGAAGTCAGGAGTTTACTGATGGATGATGCTGGTGGTGGCGTGGAAGTCAGGAGTTTACTGATGGATGATGCTGGTGGTGGCGTGGAAGTCAGACGTTTACTGATAGATGATGCTGGTGGTGGCGTGGAAGTCAGGCGTTTGTTTCTTTGAGCTCTGCTGTAAAGCAAAACAAAAACAGTGTTAATACAAGAATACTGCTGTAAACTAAATATTCAACACTTTATAAGATTATGTTGTTACAAAGTCAGGTATGTTTCACCACACTTGTTGGGTTTAACTTACAAAATCTGCTTAACTTCCTTCTGTACCCATGATAGTCTCCAGTCAAAGCAGGACTCTCCTCGTTCAGTCTTAAAGCTGTCAAAGCGAATGAAAGGGTTAAAACTGAAATCAGGCATCAGATGCTGTTGATGACATGTTTTCTTTAGAAAAGAACTGTGATTCTTACACGATGGCCTTCACACATGGATGACTATGATTTTGCATCCTGAAACCAATGATAGGCTCAGTAAACTCTTCTCGAGTTAGTCTGGAGACGTCAGTACAGCATGGTACCTCGATCACCTTCTGTTGAGCATCGGCTGCGATTGAAGAACAAGGTAAACCTTAATATTCTGCATCAGATTTAATAACAAACAGTTTCAAGCACTTTACCTGTTATAGTCCAGATCACAGATGCAAAAAACACAACAGCCAAACTCCTCATGAGGATCCTTTGTGTCTCCATTGTCACAGTCGATCTTCAACTCTCACTGCTTGTGTCTGAGAGAATATATTCAAGACTTTTACTAGTTCACCTTAAATAGTCAATAAAGCGGAACTTAAACTGCATGGGCTACACATCCTGTCCGTTTATTTTTGTAGATGATTTCATCATTGTTCTGTTTCATCACCATATCTGGCTTTCCTGGTTTAGATTTGGAATGAAGTCATTTGTCGTGGTAGGTGTAAATGTTATTTTCTAAATTAACTATGTAAATATAGATGGGGGGTCTCCATTTGATGAAATGCTCAGATAATATTTAATTTCTAATTTATTTATATGAATTCAGTGTGTGCTGAAAAAAAGTTAATTTTTAATATTCCATTAGAACAAGTCATTTTATCAATAGAGTTTTTAACTTGGTGATTCAAATATATTTTATCTTGTAACATTCAACATTTGCAAACTAAGCAAAATAGGAAGAAAGCTGATGTCCTACTGTTACTTCCACTAAGAGGTTTGTTGGGGAGTTTTTCTAGTCAGTGGGATGGTAAGGGTAAAGATTTCCATTTCACAATATTTTTAGACACATATTCTCAATAACTGTCAAATTCCTCTGAAATGCAAGACAATGTCATTCTTCTGACAGATATAAACACATCCATTAGCCTACCGAAAAGGCCATTTTCACAAATAAATATACAAGTACTAAATTAATATATTTAAACATATAATAGAATTAGGTATACAGAACAAAACAGGTTATGGATATCTTCTATTAATATATTTCTTATTTAAAGGTTGTTCAAAAACAAATGATCTGCACCCGGACTGGATTTACAATATTTTTCTCACTCTGTTTATTAATAGCTAGCATTTACCATATGTAGGTCTATCAAATTCTCTTTTTATCCAGCTTTCCACTGTGAAATGGAATGAGACAATTGGACACTGGCTGAAGTTATTTATCCACCACTGTGTAATATTTCCTACATTATAATCCTATTTACACCTATAGCATCATCTTTTGTGCTCATATACATTAGATTGTTTTTTTAAATGTGTCATAATATGTAACAAGTTTAGCCAAAGTAAGGACATATACTGTAACTTGAAAAAACAAAAAACATAATTCATCATTCATTGCTCTCAGTCTTGATGGCGATTTATAACCACACATACTAGAGCTTTACCACAATGAACCACTAATAAGAGAAATGTACTGATGTATCTGTGTGCTACAGGTGATCATTTCAGAGAACAACAGATGGAAAGCTGGACACCACTAAGATGGTTTATATCAGCTCAGATGACTTTTATACATTGCATGAGGTTTGTTCAAAAGCTCATTATGTGGATCGGTTTATTTAATCAAAATCAACATTAAAAAAAACAATCAGTTGTGAATTCCATCCATCCTTTGTTAAAGACCCACTGAAGTGCCTTGAAACCTGCAGCATTATTCAATGTGTTGACTCAATCTGAAACAGGAAGAGAGGGCGATAACACCAGGCAGCCGACAACCTTTAGTTTAGGCCTATATCACAGCTCGGCCTGAGCGGTTGAGCTTGGTAAAGCCGGAGTGTTGTGTTTGTGTAGGACTCAATAACCGCACCGTGTAGCTCCATTCATGTTGCGTTTACTGAACTGATGCAAACTTACATTTGTTGACCCTTGTCCTAAATCATTGCCGTAAGCCTGAAAAGCACCATGACCTGTCACTCGCAGTCCAACAGGAAAGAATACTGAATGTTTTCAGACATAACACAGTTTCCCCCTAATCTCTGACCGTTTCTCCTCCTAATCTCCTCCATATCGTTTTAAATAACAAAGTCTCAGCCCAAGACATCATATAACTAACACCTTGGGACGTGTTTTGACCATACGTCAACATCCGCCTTTTTAGGGTACCCTTAAACGTCGGTGAGATGACGTTATCGGATCCTAACCCTACCCCAGACCTAAACCTACCCCTAAACCCACCCCGTCACCTAACCGACTTTAAAGGTAAAGCGTCAGTTACGGCCCGGGATCGTCATGAAACCGACGTTTAGGGGAAACTGTAAAAAATAAACTGTAAATTTTATGGTAAAAAAACGGCAGCTGTGGTTGCCAGAACGTTAATGGTTTTACAGACTTAACTTAAAATTTACAGTAATAAAAAGTATTTTATTTTCGGATAAAACTTTGATTTACCAACTTATTGATATCTGTTTTAGACCATTGTAATACACAGACAACCATCAATCATCACAGCAGTGATGAGAGTTACTTGAGCAATCACAGCTCACCATAAGTGATTACTTATTTAAGTAATACTTATATAATGAAGCTGCACAGTGTCATTCACACAAACATTAAACACCATCATGGGAACACACATGAAATTAAAAAATGCAATAAACATTAATTTAACAACATTAAATGTAACATAAAACCCTAATGTACATAACTGATTAGAAAAAAAAACAATAAAACTATGAGGAACTATAGTTATTTTAACAAAAATACATCAAATGTGATGTGTCACACAGGGAATTGTGGGAATGTCAATTTACGTTTTTTCACTGTAAATTATCCAACGATTTGTTCTTTTTCACTTTCAAAAACTGTAAATTTAGCGGTATTTTACTGTAAAATTATATCACAGTTATTTACCGTATAAAGTACGGAAACTTTCTGTTAACCATTGTTAACCAAGCATTTTTACAGTCTTTTATTGTTAAAATCACAGATATTTTTTACAGTGTACCCTAAAAAGGCGGATGTTGACGTATGGTCAAAAGACGTCAGTTATATGACATCTTGGGATGTTTTAAAACAGAGGTCTTCAATTCTGCTCCTGTGGGCCACTGTTTTCCAGAGTTAAGTTCCAACCTTAATAACGCACACCAATCAGCTCATCGAGCACACCATGATCACTTAAAAATACCAAGGCAGTTGTGCTAAAGCAGGTTGGAACTAAACTGTGCAGGACATTGGCCCTCCAGGAGAAGCATTGAAGCAAACACTGGACACGCTGCGGTGAAATAATGGTGTATTTTTAATACCCGCTGCTTTCTCAGAACTGCTTCTGTTAAGTTAAAATTTCACGTTCTGATAAGGTTGGAAAATTCTGCACACAGTAAACATCACAATATACCTTCTCCTGTCAATTAAAATTACCAAATTTTTTAATCTTATTGCGAACACTCATTTTAGGTGCATTTGTTCAACTCATTGAACACAGTACATTGAAAATAAACATAACAGGAAATGAGGGAGACGTACTATTTCCAAAAGGAAGTGCGTCATGAAGCTCAATGCAAGTGGTCCATTGAAGTCATCTGAGCTGATATAAACCATCTTAGTGGTGTTTATCTTTCCATTTGTTGTTCTATGAAATGATCACCTGTAGCACAGATAAAACAGTAAAGCGCTAGTGGTTATAAATCACCATCATTACTGACAACATTTAATGATGAGTTATGAAACCATATGCCCTAATCACAAGAACATATTATCAGAGCTAAGAAATGAACACAACAGTACAGGTGATGCTAAAGTTAGATTTTTCAAGTTGCAGTATATTTCTATTATAACATTGGTTATATTGTTGTTACATATTCTGACAGTTAAAAACAATCTAATGTATATGAGCACAATAGATGATGCGTGTTAGGTGTAAAGGATGATAATTTAGGAAATATTACACAGTGGTGGATAAATAACTTCAGCCAGTGTCCAATCATCTCTTCACATTTCACAGTGGAAAGTCGGATAAAACGAGCATTTGATAGGCCTACATAGTAAATGCAAACTATAAATAAACAGAGAGAAAATATTGTAAATCCAGTCCCGGTGCAGATCATTCGTTTTTGAACAACCTCTAAATAAGAACACATTTATGCAGAAACATATTCATAGATATCCATAACCCGTTTTTGTTCTGTATACCTAGTTAATTCTATTATATTTAAATATATTTGAAGATTTCAGATGCAAAAGCCTCTAAGTGCCATTTGAAATTTTCTTCTAAAATGGTCATTTTTATCAAGCTTGTATATTTAAGTTCAGTAATTTCACTTAAATGGCAATGAAGATTACCTATTAATTGTCATTTAAGTGAAATTACTGAACTTAAATATACAAGCTTGATAAAAATGGTCATTTTAGGAGAAAATTTCAAATGGCATTTAGAGGCTTTTGCATCTGAACTCTTCATTTATTTAGAATTTACAGTATATCTTTATTTGTGAAAATGGCCTTTTCAGTAGTGAATGTGTTTAAATCTGTCAGAGGAATGACAGTGTTTTGCATTTCAGAGGAATTTGACAGTTATTGAGAATAACTGTTATCCAGAATCTGTGTCTAAAAATATTCTAAAATGGAAAACTGACCCTTTTGCCAACCCACTGACTAGCAAAACCCCCCAACAAACCTTGTAGGAAGTAACAGTAGGACGGCAGCTTTCTTCCTATTTTATAGTTTAAAGTGACAAATGGTGAATGTTCCAAGATAAATTATATTTGAATCACCAAGTTAAAAAAGTCTATTGATAAAATGACGTGTTCTATTTAAATATTAAAAAAATGATTATCTTTTTTCAGCACACACTGAATTTATATCAATTAAATGACTGACAGCAAGATTTGAAATCAAATATAATCTGAGAAGTTCAACAAATGGATTTCCCCTATTTACATTTATTAATTTAGCAGGGGACATTCACTCCTATACGACAATCTAAACCAGGAAAGCCAGATATGCTGATGAAACAGAACAATGATGAAATCATCTACAAAAAAAAAACGGACAGGATGTGTAGCCCATGCCATTTAAGTTCCGCTTTATTCACTATTTAAGGTGATAGTAAGTGTCTTGAATATATTCTCTCAGACACAAGCAGTGAGAGTTGAAGATCGACAATGGAGACACAAAGGATCCTCATGAGGAGTTTGGCTGTTGTGTTTTTTGCATCTGTGATCTGGACTATAACAGGTAAAGTGTTTGAAACTGTTTGTCTATTATTATATCTGATGCAGAATATTGAGGTTTACCTTGTTCTTCTGTCCCAGCAGATGCTCAAAATAAGGATATCACATGCTGTAAAGTCGTCTCCAGACAAACTCGAGAACAGTTTCCTGATCCCATCATCGGTTTCAGGATGTTAAAACATAATAATCAATGTCTGAAGGCCGTCGTGTAAGAATCACAGTTTCTTTTCTAAAGAAAACATGTCATGATTAGAGATCAACAGCATCTGATGCCTGATTTCTATTTTAACTTTTTATTCTCTTTAACAGCTTTAAGACTGAACGAGGAGAGTTCTGCTTTGACGGTAGACTACCATGGGTGGACAAGGAAGCTAAGAAGTTTTTGTAAGTTGAACTCAACAAGTGTAGTGAAACATACCTGACTTTGTAACAACATAATCTTATAAAGTGTTGAATATTTAGTATACAGCAGTATTCTTGTATTAACACTGTTTTGTTGTTTTGTTTTACAGCAGAGCTCAAAGAAACAAAAGCCTGACTTCCACAACGCCACCACCAGCATCATCTATCAGTAAACTCCTGACTTCCACATCACCACCAGCATCATCCATCAGTAAACTTCTGACTTCCACGCCACCACCAGCATCATCCATCAGTAAACGCCTGACTTCCACATCACCACCAGCATCATCCATCAGTAAACTTCTGACTTCCACGCCACCACCAGCATCATCCATCAGTAAACGCCTGACTTCCACGCCACCACCAGCATCATCCATCAGTAAACTTCTGACTTCCACGCCACCACCAGCATCATCCATCAGTAAACTTCTGACTTCCACGCCACCACCAGCATCATCTATCAGTAAACTCATGACTTCCACGCCACCACCAGCATCATCCATCAGTAAACTTCTGACTTCCACGCCACCACCAGCATCATCCATCAGTAAACGTCTGACTTCCACGCCACCACCAGCATCATCCATCAGTAAACGTCTGACTTCCACGCCACCACCAGCATCATCTATCAGTAAACTCCTGACTTCCACATCACCACCAGCATCATCCATCAGTAAACGTCTGACTTCCACGCCACCACCAGCATCATCTATCAGTAAACTCCTGACTTCCACATCACCACCAGCATCATCCATCAGTAAACTTCTGACTTCCACGCCACCACCAGCATCATCTATCAGTAAACTCACTCCTGAGGATCTTCACAATCAACTCACGACAGATCAGGAATCATGAACATCTAAAAGCAAACTCATAATGAGAACACATTTAAGTATGAGTTCTAAGAAATATTATGTATATTTCTTAAGTTTAAGATTTTGCTGTTGTGCTGTTTGACAATATTTAAAGTGACTTAAATTGAATATTTAAATGTTTTTAAAATACATGTTGTTTGATAGTGACATTTCTAAATGTATTAATTTTATGCAGAAATTATAGTGAAACAGTTTAAGAACAAATGATTTAAAATAAATAATTATCTTGTATATTTCAAATCGAAATATATTTCACTCAAATCAAAAATAGTGTACTGAAATGGACTTGCATCATCAAAAATAATCAAAAATAGTGTACTGGTAATGGACTTGCATCATTGACTCCTGTGTCAAGAAGCGTGACAAGTCTGAGTGAAATTAAGATTCTTTTGTATGAGAACAAACCTGCAAATTTTTGTGTTGCTTATGCAAATGAACAAGTGCAATCTGAAAATACAAATAAACTATGATCAGCAACTACTGGTTTTGCTTGTGGTTGATATTTCTGAATGTGTGCAAGAGGTCTCTGTCAGGAACGATGGCACCTTTTCTCTTTAGCATCTTTAGTCTTTCCTTTGCAGTTGGTTGATCCATAATCAAATGTTCATTTGCATAAGTTGGTACATCTTATGAACTTGAGTGGTGACAATGAAAAAGTCCTATTAGATTTTATTACTTTGTAAGCCCGTCTACACAGGTCCAATGGTGGTTCTGATAGGACGGGTAAAGGTCTCTCTGCAAGTTACCTTCTTTTCTTTCACGCAACACAACAAGATTAAATTAATTACATTTACCTTCTTTCCTTTCTATGGAAGCCCTGAACCGACACATAAAAAAAAAATCTGTAAAAAAAACAAACAAAAAAAAAACAAAAACAAATTCTAGCATTTCGAGATTAAAGTCAAAACATTTCGAGAGTACGAGAATCCAGTCTTCCGTAGAAGTTGCGTGTATGTCTGCTTGCCATTGTTTCACAATGGTGCATGATTGTGCAAAAGCTGCGAAGATTAGATAGAAGCTTACACCTCATTGAAAATTGTCTAAAAACATCTAAATAAAATGATTAACACAATATGTCCAAAGACTGCACTAATCAGTCATCAATAAATTAAAAACAATACCTTTAAATACCTTTCAGAATAAACACAATTTCATTGCTACTCTTATATTTTTATAAATATAAGTAAGGCTTATACAAGTAAGGCTACTCTTACTGAGATGCAAAGGATGTCGATCCTGTCTTTGAAAAGACCATATATCCATATACTGTACATATTATGAGGATTTGAGTCGAGATAGCACCTTCAACACAGAATCTACATCTTCCTCGTCTAGTTTTGAGAATATTTTGCACAAACATCATGCATCTCTGCTGGAAATTAGCTCTGATGATTAACTTTTATTATATTTGTACTCATTTATGATCTATTTAAATCACACCAACCTGCTTTCATAATCCAAAGCCATTATAGTCCAACCAAAAATGAAAATTCTGTAATCATTTACACATCCTTATCTTTTCTTCTGTGGAAGACAAGAGATATTAGAAAAAGAGTTTATAAAACAGTTTCTGTTCCTGTTGACTTCCATTGAAAGGACAATACAATGGAAGTTAACAGGAAACGAAACTGTTTGGTTATTAAAGTTTTTCAAAATATATAGCAGAAGAAACAAAATGAACACTTTTAGAATAACATCAGGTTGAGTAAATTATGACAATTTCCATTTTTGGGTGGACTATCTCTTTAATGATTCAAGATTTTTGTCTCATTTGACCAGCAGTGAAATGTATAAATAACATATAAAGTAAACCTGAGCAGTGTAAAAAAGTATATAGGCCTAATAAAACTGAACACAGTAATACAGTCAAGTCAACTTCATTTATAAAGAACTTTTATGCCCTACAAAGCAAAAAGGCAGTAACTGCAGTTTTGGTAAAGCATTAATTATTACAATTTTCATGACATTCAAGGCATCCTTTGTTATGTGACAAAATATCTTATCTTAAATGCGTCTCGTTTTAGAGAAAAATGGTAGTCGTTTGTACAATAACTGAAAAAAGCCCTAGCAAAAGTCATTTTTCTCAGTTCTGCACTCTGCGTAGTTACTGCCTTTTTGCTTTGTAGGGCAATGTCCAAAAAAGAGAAAATGTGCAAAATGCATGTTACATGGCATCAACAAGGCAAAGTACTGAGCCCCTAAGAGACGTGATGGTTGAAATAAATGTGGAGATTTTCCCAAGCAAAACTCAGGCGTTCCCTCGCAAATATATTTGCATTCCCACACAAAACCTGTTGTGAGTTCAGACACCTCAAGTTTTATGTCCCGCTGGCAGTGTTTTAGAGCTCTGTACGTTAATGGAGCATCTCATAAGTGTTTGAACTTGAACTCGGATGTGAATAAACAAATTTGAACGTCCCAGATCAATAACTCGTGAGTTAAACATTATTAAAACACGACACCTACAATCACGGGAAGCTAGACAACGAGCTACTACAACCCAATTGTCCTCAAAACCAGCTTATATAAATGTGTCTCTAGGCGATTGAGAAACAAATCTGAATAAGGGCAATGTGCAAAACCCAAAACCCTTACGTTATTAAACATATTCAATAGCTTCACTGCAACACTGTACTGTCACCAATTTCAGTTCACACATTACTGCTCTCCTGCTGGTAATACTACAATAGTATAGTTTGATTTAGATGTGTTACAGTGACGTTATTGAATTTTTTTCATAATATAAATGTGCAAAAGCATAGGACCAGTGGGAGACCATTGATGTGTAAACTGAATTTATAATTGGTGACACAGTATATTATTAATTAACTTCAATGTGAGAAACTTGTGAGTGATACAAGCATGTCCACATTAAAAGAGTCTAGCTTGAGAAAGAAGCTCCTCCTAAGCATCAGTTTTACTCCTCAGACTATGAAAGCACTTATCAGATGGCAGCAGACTGAACAGTCACTTCCGTAGACTTTCTCGGTTAGTATCAAAAGAGCGGGATATCTCAGTTAACATTCTTCCCTGTCCCTTAAGCGATCATAAAGCAATATTCATTTCTATTAAATTATTTTCAGATAATGATTATAAAGCCAATTACTGGAAACTAAATGATTCTCTTCTTAGTGGAAGAGGCTAAACAGAAAATCCCACAGTTGACTTTTTTTTTTTTTTAACAAAGTTGTGGTGGAAAATTATTTTAGTGTTAATTGGGAGTTATTTAAATATGAACCCGCAAAATACCTTAGGAAGCTTCATAATATTGCTAAAATTAGAAAATTGGAAGAACAAAGAGTTTTCACAGGCATTTCGGTAATGTCTCAAATATCAGACGTCTTAACAGAGAAGGAAAAACAGAAATGCTTAATCTACAAGAGTGCCTGGATAAGATAAAAAGAAGGCAGAAGAAGCTTTTATAAGGTTTCGGAAACTGGTTAGAAAAAGGGGAACAAAATTACTCAGACTTCTTTAAACTGGATAAGTATCACACAAAGATGAATACCATTAATGAATCAAAAATTGCTCTATAAGTGATGATCAACATTTAATATCTGATTTTTGTTCCTCATTTTATAAAAAAAAAAAAAAAACTATTTACCTCAGAATATGCTGACAATGATTCTTTGTTATTCCTTAATTCTCTACATAATAGAGTGCCAAAGTTACGACGTCACTCTGTAGGCCAAAACGCGGAAGTGAGTTAGCATTTTAGCATTATGGTTCCATCGCTCTTGCTAAATAGCCTGAAATAAGGTCTGTGGTGAACAAAGCCTCTAAATATTTTCACGTTTTGATCTATGACATAGAACACACATTTATAACTGCTTGTGGTTTTTTAAACTTTATTGTGTCTGATTGTGTTTTTTAAAATCTTTATATAGGCTTCAAATTGTATAGGCCTAAATTTTGGATTACCTTGTAAAGATTATCTTGCTAGACAAAAAGTGCAAGGGTCATAACCCTTTGTTAAACACAGATCTTATTTTTTGCGATTTTCCAAAAGTCTATGGGGAAAATGCATCGCTTTTCAACCGAGGGAAACCATGCGCCGCTAGCTTCCGGGTTGTCCTACAAAGTGACGTCATCACTCTGGTAAGTCCCGCCCCTTCAGCTTACCCCGCTAGACCTCTTGGTTGAAAAATCGTCAATGCAAGTGAATGAGAGAAAATAATTATTTTCTAATCCCGTTTGAATTTTGCAATGAATGTGAACATATTGTCTGTGAATTGTTTATATATTTTTTCGTGTAAAGAATGCTACAATTTAGCGGGTAGAATTTTCATACGGTTAGACTTTGTGTGAGAGCACTTTGTGGACTACAACTCTTTCGACGTGTTTGATATACATCACCCCCACTTACTAGCACACGGATCCCGCTAAACATGCCTGTGTCTTTGGTGAACTTCACCGCCTTCTTTCAGGGAGAGGACAATATACTAGTTGAGCGTGGTGAAAACCGTGATTTGTGGAGGGAAAATGTGTTATGCGGCGACGTCACATATGTGTAGTCTTTCTCGTTATGTCTATTCCACAACTGCTAGCCAAATAATCATACAATATACTGTCAAACTCGTTACATGAGAAATTCTATAAAAAAAAAAATTCACAGACAACATATGCTACATTCACGGCACAATTCAAACGGGATCAGAAAATAATTATTTTCTCTCATTCACTTGCATTGACGCTTTTTCAACCTAGAGGTCCACTTGGAGTTTTACGGATGGGTGGGACTTACCAGCTCTATATCCAACCAATACCTCAGAATATGGAGTGGTGATGGCGCAGTGGATAAGGCACATGCCTTTGGTGTGAGAGACTCAGGTTCGAATCCACTGTGAGACACAAAAGTGTCCCTGAGCAAAACATTTAACCCCTAGTTGCTCCAGAGGCGTGCGACCTCTGACATATCAGTTAAGTTAAGTTGCTTTGCATAAAGCGACAGCTAAATGAATAAATGTAAATGAATGAAGACACCTCAGGACTTGTGACTTATCCCTGGCAGAAGTCTATATCTGCTAAAAGACAAGTCACCTGGGACAGATGGTCTATCATCTGAATTTCATCAATCGTTTTCCCAGCAGATTGCACCCTTCTTACTGCAGGTGTTTAATGAAAGTATGATAGCCAAGGCCATGACTCAAGGTTTGATTACTCAAAGATTTGCTTTTATGTTGATAATTGGCATCCAATTTGCCTCTTGAACAATGATTACAAAATTTTGGCCTTGATATTTGCTAGAAGA